CTAGTTCTGGAAAAAGGTCACCATATATAGATGATTCTGTGTACCATATGTATATTATAAGCATGCATGTGTATACATATACATGGTTTAGTTTATTTATTTTGGTCGGTCATGGGGCTTGAACTCTGGGCTTGGACGCTGTCCCTGTGCTTTTCAGCTCAAGGCAAGTGTTGTACCACTTGAGCCACAGTGCCATTTCCAGTTTTCTAGTGGTTTTTATTGGAGATAAGAGTCTCACGGACTTTCCTGCCTGGGCTGGCTTTGAACCACGATCCTCAGATCTCAGCCTCCTGAGTAGCTACGATTACAGGTGTGAGCCACTGGCGCCTGGCAGTTTATTTTTTGTGGGTCCTGGGGCCTGAACTCGGCCTGGACACTGCCCCTGAGCTCTTCAGCTCAAGGCTAGCACTCTACCACTTGAGCCACTTCTGGCTTTTTCTGCTTATGTGGTGCTGAGGAATCGAACACAAGGCCTCATGGGTGGGAGGAAAGCACTGTACCCGGTACCGTCCCAGCCCCATATACATGGTTTTAACTGTGGGCCTGGCTAAGGAGTAAAAGCAGGGGAGGAAAAGAATATTAGAGGGCAAGCAAAGAGCTGGGGATGTGGCTCAGTGGTAGAGCGCTTGCCTCACATGCATGAAGCCCTGGGTTTGATTCTTCAGTGCCACATACACAGGAAAAGCCACAAGTGACTCAAGTGGTAGAGTACTAGCTTTGAGCAAAAAGCAGCTCAGGGACAGCACCCAGGCCCTGAGTTCAAGCCCAGGACTGACAAAAATTAGTTAAAATAGAGAGCAAGCAATACTAAAACACACCTGTGAATAAAGAGAGCAAATGTTTCTAAGTCCACAGAGGAAAATCTGAGAGGATTAAAAGAAGTGGACCCTCTCAGAGCCACAGCTGGAAGTCCTAAGGCAAGCAAACCCGTAGTCACCAGCCCTGGGCAGTCTGAACAGTATCTTGGCCTCAGCGGAGACCTCAGCGTCCTGACGGCAGCTGTGTGGGGATGTCCACCGCCGACCCTGCAGGAGGCAGGCCTGGCCGCAGAGGCCACCCTTCACCTGCACACGGGCTGGCACAGCAGGGCTGGGCAGGCGGGAAAGTGTGCCGCGTACCTACCTGGACCAAGCCTCTCCACCTCTGGCTTCTCTCCTTCCCCCAGGGCTTCAGGAAGAAGGACTGGCTTGGGCGGTGGTGCGCAGAGCCCCCCCGGGCTTCCTGCTCGGCACCTTTATCTGCTGGGCGGCCAGCTTGTCCTCAGGGCTCTGGCCACCGATTGAGGTGTGGAGGGCTCGGGAAGGGCGCTGCTTCGGGGTAAGTGGCTGGGCTGGGGCTCAGAGCCTGCCATCACTGTGGGCAGGAAAGGGCCCCGAGGCCCCTCACCTCCTCCAGAGGAAGCCCTGATCTCTCTCTGGATGGAGGTCGCTGCCAGAGGACAGTCACCCCACACCTGGCCTCACGGGGAGTCTCCTTCCATCCAGAGCTAGACTGAGGGTGAGGGGTGGTTTGGGCGAGGCCAGGTCACGGCCGAGGGACAGGATCACTCTGGGCTGAGGTCTAGCAGTGCCCCAGCTCGGGGTACGGGCAGGGCCTTCCCAGCTGGGGGCCGGGGCTGGGCAGGCAGAGCTGGCCCTGGAGGGCCAGACCCCCTCCTTTGCCTTCCAGGCGGCGGTACCTGGCACAGGCCAGGGAAGACACAGCATTTAGTACTAGCCCGGGGGTAGGTGACCCCTGGCGGGGTCTGGGGATGGAGCACCTGCTGTGCTGGCCCCTCACAGGGCAGTCCCCAGGACACCGGAGCCCAGCCAGGCCTCGGCTCCAGTCCCGCTCCCTGTCTGCAGTGGGAGACCACGGCACGTCCTTCCTGGCATCAGGCCGAGGGCTGTCCCCCTCTCCCCGGCAGTCCCTGCCCACCGTCCACCTAGATCCCTCTCTGAATGGCATCTTGTCACCCAGGCCCTACTCAGAGTCTGCGAGGAGGCAGAGTGGCTGGTGGATCGCTGCTGTTTTGCTTTTCCTCCCCAGATGAGCTTCACAAGCCAGGTATCCGGAGCTGAAGCCCCTGCCCAGCACCGACGCTGCCCCTCCCGCAGGGCCTCACCAGGGCCTTCCAGGGACAGGACGGGAAGCCTGGCTAGCCCTGTTCTAGCGCCCCGGGTTCCAACAGGACGTGGCACACGGTTTTACCCGAGGCTGGGGGGGGGGGCATTTTGTAGTTTGCTCTGGGGCAGCTCTTCGTGTGGATCTGAGCCCCCCCACCCCGAGCACCAAGACGCCTGATAGCTGGGGCGCGGGCCCCACCTGCGCCTCCTTTCCCAGGCTCTGGGAGCCAGGCTCGGCCGCGCCAAGGCAGCACAATCCGGGGAAGCCTGGCTGAGCCACCTCTCCCAGGACGGCCGCGCTGTGCGGGCGGGCCCCGCCCTTATCTGAGAACCGGGAGCTGGGCGGTAGGCAGCCCCGGCAAGGCCGGCGGGTGGGGCCGCCCAACCTCACTCGGGGTTTCCTGTTTCTCCAGGTCTTCTGCTCCACACACGAGGTATCCCGACACCACAACCCAGGCACCCAGACCCAGGGTTCCTTCCAAGAGTGGCCGCCAGGCCCCGCAGCTGGGGGGGGGGACAAAGTAGGGAGGGGGTTGGGGAGGGAGGTCGGGGAGGGGGTCCCAGGGCTGGAGAGGGGGTCTGGGGTCTGGGGAGGGGTCCCCAGGGCTGGAGGGGGGTCTGGGGAGGGGTCCCCAGGGCTGGAAGAGGGGGTCTGGGGAGGGGTCCCCAGGGCTGGAAGAGGGGGTCTGGGGTCTGGGGAGGGGTCCCCAGGGCTGGAAGAGGGGTCTGGGGAGGGGGTCTGGGGTCTGGGGAGGGGTCCCCAGGGCTGGAGAGGGGGTCTGGGGAGGGGGTCTGGGGGCCAGGGCACCCCCGACCTCTGCACGGAGGCGGCAGCGGTGGGAGAGCGGGGTCCCCGTGCCGCCCGCGCCCCACTGAGGCCCGCGCTCCTCTCAGGTCGTGGCCGGCATGGTCACCACCATCAACTTCTTCCTGTCCGAGGCCATGCTGGGCCAGCACTTCCAGGTGGTGGAGCTGCGGGGCGCCGAGCCCGAGCCCGGGGACCTCTTCCTGTTCAAGCTGCGTTCCCCGGGCGGGCGCTGGTGCGGGGCGCACGTGGGCGTCTACTGCGGCCACGGCGAGGTCGTGCACTTCGAGGGTGAGCGTGTGTGCGTGTGTGCGTGTGTGCGCGCATGTGCGTGTGTGTGTGCCCACGGGGGCGAGGTCGCGCACTTCGAGGGTGAGCGTGTGTGCGTGTGTGCGCGTGTGCGCGCATGTGCGTGTGTGTGTGTGCCCACGGGGGCGAGGTCGCGCACTTCGAGGGTGAGCGTGTGTGCGTGTGTGCGCGTGTGCGCGCATGTGCGTGTGTGTGTGTGCCCACGGGGGCGAGGTCGCGCACTTTGAGGGTGAGCGTGTGTGTACAGTGTGCGCGTGTGTGTGCGCTTGTGTGCGTGTGTGCCCACGGGGGCGAGGTCGCGCACTTCGAGGGTGAGCGTGTGCGCGCATGTGCGTGTGTGTGTGTGTGCCCACGGGGCCGAGGTCGTGCACTTGGGGGGCAGGTGTGTGCGTGTGTGCCCACGGGGCCGAGGTCGTGCACTTGGGGGGCGTGTGTGTGCGTGTGTGCCCACGGGGGCGAGGTCGTGCACTTGGGGGGGCAGGTGTGCGCGTGTGCGCGTGTGTGACCACGGGGGCGAGGTCGTGCACTGGGGGGCGGGTGTGTGTGTGTGTGCCCACGGGGGCGAGGTCGCGCACTTCGAGGGTGAGCGTGTGTGTGCGTGTGTGCCCACGGGGCCGAGGTCGTGCATTTGGGGGGCGTGTGTGTGCGTGTGTGCCCACGGGGGCGAGGTCGTGCATTTGGGGGGCGTGTGTGTGCGTGTGTGCCCACGGGGGCGAGGTCGTGCACTTGGGGGGGCAGGTGTGCGCGTGTGCGTGTGTGCGTGTGTGACCACGGGGGCGAAGTCGTGCACTGGGGGGCGGGTGTGTGCGTGTGTGTGCGTGTGCCCACGGGGGCGAGGTCGTGCACTGGGGGGCGGGTGTGTGCGTGCGTGTGTGCCCACGGGGGCGAGGTCGTGCACGGGGGGTCGGGGGGGCCTCCTGGCCCGGCCCCAGGCCGCGCTCCCCTACGCCGACCCCCGCAGGCCTCAAGCCGGACCAGGCGGGGCTGCGCGCCTGCCTGGGCCCCTGGAAGGGCGTGGTGTGCAAGCAGGGCCGGCGGCCGCTGCAGCGCTCCCGCGAGCTCTGGCGCGTGCTGCGGCTGCGCGGCGGCGTGGACCGCGCGGCGCTGGACCGGCGCGTGCGCGCGGCGATGGACGCCGACCCGCCGCCCTACCACCCCACGAACAACAACTGCGTGCACTTCGCGCTGCGCCTGCTGGACGTGGACCTGAGCCTCGGCGGGGTGAGCCCGGGTCCGGGGTCCCGGGGTCCCCCGCCCCGCCCCGGCCCGGCCCGCTCCGCCCCGGCCCGGCCCTGACGCAGCCTCCCCGCCTCCTAGGTGTCGGTGGACCTGGGCCCCCGCCCGGAGTAGCCGCGCCTCGGACCCTCCGCGCCATTAAACGCTGTTCCCATCCGTGCGTGCGTCTGGTCTCTACGGCGGGCGGGGTCCCCGGCGGGCGCGTCCCCGCGGGCCCCGCCCCGGAGCGCCGTCCCCGGCGGGCGCGTCCCCGCGGGCCCCTTCCCGGAGCGCCGTCCCCGGCGGGCGCGTCCCCGCGGGCCCCGTCCCGGAGCGCCGTCCCCGGCGGGCGCGTCCCCGCGGGCCCCGTCCCGGAGCGCCGTCCCCGGCGGGCGCGTCCCCGCGGGCTCCTTCCCGGAGCGCCGTCCCCGGCGGGCGCGTTCCCGGCAGGCGCGTCCCCGCGGGCCCCGCCCCTCGCCGGCCCCGCCCCTCCCGCCGGCGCGTGCGCCGTGAGGCGCGGCGCGGCCCTGATTGATAAATCCCATCCGCGCATCCCGGGACCTCGGCCGCAGGACCATGTCCGCCGCCCCGGCCTACAGCGAGGACAAGGCGGGCTCCGCCGGCCCCGGGGAGCCGGAGTACGGCCACGACCCCGCGAGCGGCGGCATCTTCTCCTCCGACTACAAGCGGTGAGGGCGCGCGGGCCGGCACCATGGACAGCGCCGGGGCCGGTGCGGGGCCGCGAGGGGACCCGGGGCGGGGGACCCGGGGCGGGGGACCCGGGCTGGGGACCTGGGCTGAGGACCCGGGGCTGGGGACGCGGGCTGGGGACCCGGATTGGGGACCCGGGGCTGGGGACCGGGGCGGGGGACCCGGGCTGGGCACACAGGCTGGGGATGCGGGACTGAGGACCCGGGGCTGGGGACGCGGAGGGGGGACGACGGTGACCTCGGGCTGGGGGACCCGGGGCGCAGGGGGACACTTTCCCTCCCTCCCTCCTTCCCTCGCCCGGAGGTGACTCGGCCACGAGCCCTGCAGCCCGCGGGCCTGCGCCTGGGAGTGGAACAGGGCGGAGCAGGGGGCGGGGCGGGGCGGCGAGGGGGCGGGGGCGACGAGGGGCGGGGCGAGGAGGGGGCGGGGCGAGGAGGGGGCGGGGCGAGGAGGGGGCGGGGCGGGGGAGGAGGGCGCTGGGACGGAGCCCGCCCTGGGCTCCGGGGTGCGGGTGGCCGGGCATGGGCAGCGGGCAGCGTGGCCGCCGGAGCCCCGACGCTGGACCCACGGAGCCGGGCAGCTGCGGGAGGCGTTGAGTGGGAGGAGCTCGGCCAGGGCTGCAAACCACCGGAGACCCCTCAAAAATAGCCCAAGCACGAAGGCCTGGGGCCAGCGCACCAGCCGCCGAGCACAGGCCCTGAGCTCAAGCCCCGATACCCAACAATGAATAAATAACCTGCAAACGAGCCCTAGCTCAATACGTAGATCACAAGCACTAAGGCTCTGAGTTCAAACCCCAGTACCACCGCCAAAATAATAAAATAATAATAATGACACCTGTCATCCTAGCTACTCAGGAGGACCAGAAAACCAGAAGTGGCGCTGTGGCTCAAAGTGATAGGGCGCTAGCCTTGAGCAAAAGAGCTCATGGACAGCGCCCAGGCCCTGAGTTCAAGCCCCAGGCAAAGTTAAAAAAAGAAAAAAAAAGACTGTTCTGTAGAAGAGGTTTGGAAGAGAGCCAGAAGTGCTCTGGGTGGGGGGGGGGGGCGGGGGAAGGGCTGTGGACGCTGAGAGCTGAGGGGAAGCGCGAGGGTCAGAGGTCACCATACCGTCCGTTGATCACTGGATTTGAGAGGCGGCAGCCATGGTCACCATTGCTCACCTTGCACTAATTCCTCAGCTAGGTCCATGCTGGTGCTGTTCACTATACACTCAGACTCCAGGAGAGAAAGTTATCTAAAGCCACCAGGTGTGTGAAATGAGTTCAGCCCGGGCACAAGTCTGAACCCCAGAGACACCAACATTAGAGGGCCAGGGAACAAGAGTATTTCAGAGTGCCTGAGGAGAAGAGGGCCAAAGGCAGGAAGGAAAGAAAATACGATTTCAGTAATGAGATAATGGTCTGAAGTATCTTGATGCCTATTAAAGTCAAGTCAGACAAAAAAAATTGATCCCATTGGTTGACAAAGAGGTCAGCTTCAAGCTCAGTGTCTTGGCTTGCCACATGGCTGTAAACCTAGCTAGCTGCTTGGGAGAGGAGATCCAGAGAACTGTGGTTCAACAGCAGCCTTATGTAAAGTAAGGGTCCAGCGCCGTTGGCTCGCACTGTCACCCTAGCTACTCAGGAGGCTGAGATCTGAGGATGGCAGTTCAAAACCAGCCCGGGCAGGAAAGGCCATGAGATTCTTATCTCCAATAAATGACTCAAGAGCAAAAATCAGGAAGTGGCGCTGTGGCTCAAGTAGTAGAGTGTTAGCCTTGAGCAAAAGAAGCTCAGGGACAGTGCCCAAGGTCAGAGTTCAAGTCTCAGGACCAGCCCTCTCACCCCCCCAAAAAGTAAGACCCTCTATCTCAACCAATAAGCTGGGTACTGTGGCTAGTGTTTATCATTCAAACTATTCAGGAGGCAGAGATCAGAAGGCTCAAGGTCAGGTGGAGCAAAAAGTTGGGGTTCCCTCATCTTAGTAAGGCAGAGGGGTTGCATGTACCTGTGATGGGTTTCAGGGTCAGTGAGGAGGCTCCAGGCTGAGACGGCCCCTGCATAAACATGAGACCCCTCACAAAACAAGACCAAAGGGATGAGCCTGTACTCAAGAGGTAGAGCACCTGCCTAGCAAGTGCGGGGCCAGTATTGCCAAAACAAAACAAAAGACTTTTGTAAAGGATGTTTGCTCTTTTCTTGTTTCGTTTTTTTACTATTTGGGTGGGGAAGCCCAGAGCGCGTTTCACTGTGGATGGGAAAGAGGCAGAGGAGAGAAGGGTGGGAGAGGCCGAAGGAAAGGAAGAGGCCCAGGTCCCTGGGGCGTGGGGGTGGGGCTGGGGAGTGGGGGTGCCGGAGGAGCAGCTGTGCTCAGAGGGTGTGCGCAGGAAGGCGTGGATGTGGGAAGGTGTACGTGGGAGCAAGTGGATGTGTGTGGGAGCCGCAGGCTTTAGCTCAACACCTTCCCTTGTTCTGTGAGAAGCAGGAAGTGCGGACTGCAGTACAGAGGTGTTGAGGGCAAGGCTGTGGGTGGGCATTTGAGGTGGCATGGGTTGAAGTATGGGGGGGCCCCTGGACTCCCGGAAGGGAGAGGATGATGCCAGGACCTAGTTGCGAAAGGTCTCAGGAGAACCAGGAGTGAGAGGTCAGGGCGAAGGGGTGGGAGCGGTTCTGGGAAGCCAGGGCCGATTGTGTCTGTGAGTTTGGGGGGGGGTCGCGGTTCCCGGGTCTCCTGCATAGAGACTGGCTGAGCACCAGGTCCCTGCTCTCTGCCCCTCCCAAGGCCGGTCTCAGCGAGGAGGAGGAAACCAGAGACTCCCTCCCCGCCAGTGTCGGGTTACTGAGTTTGGGAGCCGGGTGTCTGGGGACAGGGACGGGAGGCCCAGCTGGCAGGTGCGACTCAGCAGGGCCCCATGCAGCGGCTTCTGCAGCTCCACAGCACCATGGTGAGGCCGGGGGCCCGAGGGCCTTCTGGGGCGGACCAGGAGGCCGCCAGCCCGGTGCTAGACCCTGAAGGTGGGCCGCCATCCTGGTACCAGGCCTTGCAGCCTGAGGAGCTTCGGTGGCTGCAGGCCCCAGAAGACGGCACAAACCCAGAAGCACCCCTGGAAGGGCCTTGCCTGGAGGGGGGCCAGGACCAGCCCCTGAGGTATGGAGAGGAGCCGGGCCACCGGCCTGCACAGCCAGCGGGGGGGCAGCGGCCGCCCCGCGCAGGGGGAGGGCCGGGTTGGTGGCAGGGTTCCCTCAGAGGTGGAGCAGGATGCTCCAGTGCTGCACTTCCTGCAGGCTCTGAAGGACAGGGTAGTAAAACAGCCAAGGGAGCCGGGCGCCGGTGGCTCACACCTGTCATCCCAGCTACTCAGGAGGCTGAGATCTAAGGATCGCGGTTCAAAGCCAGCCTGGGCAGCAAAGTCCGTGAGACTCTTATCTCCAATGAACCACTAGAAAACTGGAAGTGGCGCTGTGGCTCAAGCGGTAGAGTGCTGGCCTTGAGCTGAAGAGCTGAGGGACAGCGCCCAGACCCAGAGTTCAAGGTCCACGACCGACAAAAGCAAACCAAAAAAAGAGACAAAAAAGCAGCCAAGGGTTCAAGGGTGGAAGCTCCATCTCTCCTGGAGGCCCCGGGCTGGAGGGGCCCGCTAGGTCTGAGCAGCCTCTCCGGCTGCTGGACTGGGATTCAGGTGGGGAGGAGGAGCAGTGAGTGTGACCTGGGGCACTCGGGCCTCCAGGGATGCACCCCACGCGGGTCTGCTGTGGAGCTGAAGCTCACGGTCGGCCTCAGCCTCATCACCGAGGCCGGCGGGGGGCGGGGGGGGGCAGCCCAGGGCTCTCCCCGCCAGCGCTGCTGCCTGGGCCCGTGGGCGCCAGCTTGGTGGGCCGGGTGTCCTTGGGTGTGCGTTTGGCAGGACCTTTGGTATGTGGGGGTGTGGTGGAGACACTCTGGTGTGAAGAACACCCAAAGACAGGAAATGAGCCCTGCAGGCCAGCGAGGATCCCGGGCGGAGGCTCTGTGTCTCGGCAGCGTGTTGTGTGCGGGTGCGTGCGGAGAGGCTGGGCCCGAGCCCTCGGGCGGCCCAGGCCCGCTGCCGGGGCTGCCCTCTGTCCTGAGCTCGGCCTGAACTCAGCTCTTGGCTTGGCCAGGGGACGGGACGAGGTATTTTCCCGTTGGGGGCAGAGCATCCGACAGGCAGGGAGAGCTGAATTGTGTGCGTGGGCCTGGCTGCTGACACCCTTGTCCGACCTCAGGCAAGGCTTTGTGCTGGGTGGTGGTGGGTTGTTTTTCCACTTGCTCTTTCTTGAGGAGGTAAAGTGGCGCACACCTGTGGAAGGCTACAGAGGAATGGAGTGGAGGGCTGAGGCTAGCTGAGGCAAAAGCTCTTGAGACTCTGTCTCAAAAGACAAGCCAGCCGGGCACCCGTGGCCCACACCTGTCATCCTGGCTACTCAGGAGGCTGAGATCTGAGGAACCAGGTTCAGAGCCAGCCCGGGCAGGAAACTCTGTGAGACTTTTATATCCAGTGAACCACTCAGAAAACTAAAAGTGGCGCTGTGGCTCAAGTGGTAGAGCGCCCGCCTTGAGCTGAAGAGCTGAGGGACAGCCCTAGGCCCAGAGTTCAAGACCCAGGACCGACAAAAACAAAACAAAAAACCAAGCCAGGCATAGTGAGTCACATCTGTAATCCCAGGTGTGTGGGGGGAGGAGGAGGAGGAGGAGGAGGAGGATCGCCATCTAAGGTTGGCTCAGCAAGAAGCACAAGACCATAGCCAAAGCAAGGCTGAAGCCAGGGGTGCTGGGGCGGGGGGGGCTGTGGCTGGAGGGGGGGCTGTGGCTGGAGGAGGGGGCTGTGGCTGGAGGGGGGGCTGTGGCTGGGAGGGGGCTGTGGCTGGAGGGGGGGCTGTGGCTGGAGGGGGGGCTGTGGCTGGAGGGGGGCCTGTGGCTGGAGGGGGGCTGTGGCAGGGAGAGGGGGCTGTGTCTGGAGGGGGACTGTGGCTGGAGGGGGGGCTGTGGCTGGAGGGGGGGCTGTGGCTGGATGGGGGGCTGTGGCAGGGAGAGGGGGCTGTGGCTGGAAGGGGGGCTGTGTCTGGAGGGGGGCTGTGGCTGGAGGGGGGCCTGTGGCTGGAGGGGGGTTGTGGCTGGAGGGGGGATGTGGCTAGAGGGGGGCTGTGGCTGGAGGGGGGCCTGTGGCTGGAGGGGGGCTGTGGCTGGAGGGGGGATGTGGCTAGAGGGGGGCTGTGGCTGGAGGGGGGCCTGTGGCTGGAGGGGGGGGCTGTGGCTGGAGGGGGGGCTGTGGCAGGGAGAGGGGGCTGTGGCTGGAGGGGGGATGTGGCTGGAGGGGGGCTGTGGCTGGAAGGGGGCCTGTGGCTGGAAGGGGGGCTGTGGCTGGAGGGGGGCTGTGGCTGGAGGGGGGCTGTGGCAGGGAGTACCTACCTAGCAAGTGCAAGGCCCCAAGTTCAAACTGAATAAGTAAACGCCACCTGCTCAGGACAGACGTGCTTTGAGAGAGTCTGTGCCGGCGGTCTGCTCCGCGCTCCTGAGCGTCCACAGCCAGGGAGCAGTCACGTGGGGTTGCCTTCCTGGGTCTCGTGTCCCCCCCACTCCCCCCCTCACTTCTCACCATCAGCAGTGGCCACCGTGACCTCTGTGATGATGTCACTCTCACCATGACCTCTGTGATGATGTCACTCTCACCGTGACCTCTGTGATGATGTCACTCTCACCGTGACCTCTGTGATGATGTCACTCTCACCGTGACCTCTGTGATGATGTCACTCTCACCGTGACCTCTGTGATGATGTCACTCTCACCGTGACCTCTGTGATGATGTCACTCTCACCGTGACCTCTGTGATGATGTCACTCTCTCCATGACCTCTGTGATGATCCATGATGATGTCACTCTCACCGTGACCTCTGTGATGATGTCACTCTCATGGTGACCTCCATGATGATCCATGATGATGTCACTCTCACCGTGACCTCTGTGATGATGTCACTCTCACCGTGACCTCTGTGATGATGTCACTCTCACGGTGACCTCTGTGATGATGTCACTCTCACCGTGACCTCTGTGATGATGTCACTCTCTCCGTGACCTCTGTGATGATGTCACTCTCTCCGTGACTTCTGTGATGACGTCACTCTCCTCTCCGTGACCTCTGTGATGACATCACTCTCCTCTCTGTGACCTCTGTGATGATGTCACTCTCTCCGTGACCTCTGTGATGACGTCACTCTCCTCTCCGTGACCTCTGTGATGACATCACTCTCCTCTCCGTGACCTCTGTGACGACGTCACTCTCTCCGTGACCTCTGTGACGACGTCACTCTCTCCGTGACCTCTGTGACGTCACTCTCTCCGTGACCTCTGTGACGACGTCACTCTCTCCGTGACCTCTGTGACGATGACACTCTCTCCGTGACCTCTGTGACGACGTCACTCTCACCGTGACCTCTGTGACGACGTCACTCTCTCCGTGACCTCTGTGATGACGTCACTCTCTCCGTGACCTCTGTGACGACGTCACTCTCTCCGTGACCTCTGTGACGTCACTCTCTCCGTGACCTCTGTGACGACGTCACTCTCTCCGTGACCTCTGTGACGATGACACTCTCTCCGTGACCTCTGTGACGATGACACTCTCTCCGTGACCTCTGTGACGATGACACTCTCTCCGTGACCTCTGTGACGATGTCACTCTCACCGTGACCTCTGTGACGATGTCACTCTCTCCGTGACCTCTGTGACGACGACACTCTCTCCGTGACCTCTGTGACGACGTCACTCTCTCCGTGACCTCTGTGACGACGTCACTCTCACCGTGACCTCTGTGACGATGTCACTCTCTCCGTGACCTCTGTGACGATGACACTCTCTCCGTGACCTCTGTGACGACGTCACTCTCTCCGTGACCTCTGTGACGACGACACTCTCTCCGTGACCTCTGTGACGATGTCACTCTCTCCGTGACCTCTGTGACGATGTCACTCTCTCCGTGACCTCTGTGACGATGTCACTCTCTCCGTGACCTCTGTGATGACGTCACTCTCCTCTCCGTGACCTCTGTGATGACGTCACTCTCCTCTCTGTGACCTCTGTGATGATGTCACTCTCTCCGTGACCTCTGTGATGATGTCACTCTCTCCGTGACCTCTGTGAGGATGTCACCCTCTCCGTGACCTCCGTGAGGATGTCACTCTCTCCTCTCCCAGCTCCCGATTTCCAGTTGTTTCTCCCGCACACCTGCCTGGTCCTCAGGCCAGACGCTTGGATGCCAAGCCTGGGGGAGGCGGCTTCGCCGCGGGGCAGGGCCAGAGCGCCAGGCTTAACTCCCCGTCAGGCGCTCGAAGGTGTCCAGTGCTCTACCTTTAGTCCTTTCCTGGGCTAGCAGAATGTGGCGCTCGACTCTGCCCCCGCACCTAGCTCAAGGCGGGGCGGGCTGTGAACTGTGGCCCGAGGAATCCGTGCTTGTCTGGAGTATGTTTGCCCTATGTGCGGGCGGCCCTGTGCTGTCAACCGGGAGCATCTTCATTACAGCGTCAACACATCTGTTCTAGATAAAAGTCTGTTTGGAGGCGGCAGGCTCTGCCTGAAGCCTGTCTACGTGTTCCTGCCAATAACCCACGTCCCCTGCCTCTCCTCTCATGGTCTTGCTTGCGGTGTCCCTCTCCCCGACCCTCTCTTTTCTTTTTTTTCCAGTACTAGGGGTTGAACTCAGGACTCTCACTTGCTCGGCGGATGCTCCCCTGCTGAGCCACACTTCCAACCCCTTTTTGCACTGGTTGTTTGGCATGAGGGCCCACTTTCACCCTGGCTGCATGCGCGACCTGAGAGCCGCCTGTCTGAGCTTTGCTTTGCAGCTAGGATGACAGGCCCGCATTGTGCACACCTCCCTCTGTGGAGATGGACTCTCACAGGCTTCTCTACCCCAACGAGTCTGGAACCACCATTCCATGCGGCTGGGATGGGGCGCCCCACGCCCCACCCTGTGATTGGCTGAGCAGGGGTATCAGACTTCTCTACCATGAGCCTCCCTAATCTTAGTCTCCCAAGTAGCTAGGATTACAGGTGTGAGCTCCCAGCACCTGTCCCGAGTCTCTTCTGTGTGCCTGGACCCCTGTGATCTGTATTACAACCCGCCCCCGCCCCTCGCCCTGGCTGACTCTTGTGTCTCCCCGCCAGGCACGATGACCTCAAGGAGATGCTGGACACCAACAAGGACTCACTCAAGCTGGAGGCCATGAAGAGAATCGTGGCGGTGAGTGGGGGGCTTCCCCTTGGGAGGGGTCTTGGCGCTGTGAGCTTTCCCTCACCGGCCACGCTCCATCCTTCCTTCCTCCCTCCCTCCCTCCCTCGGCTGCCTGACCCGCACCCACACCCAGATGATTGCCCGCGGGAAGAACGCCTCGGACCTGTTTCCCGCTGTGGTGAAGAACGTGGCCTGTAAGAACATAGAGGTGAGCCCGCGGGGGAGGGCCGGACAGCCGGGGGCGGGCGGTGGGGAAGAGAAGGCCTGGCTCCCCGGAAGAGCTTGTGAGTATTTGGAGATGGCGTGTGGATGAGGTCCGAGGACCCGCCTCCCGCTGGAGGACATGTCACTCGCGGAGGAACCCACGTCCCGGCCACGCGGGGCCGACTCCTGGATGAGCACAGCCCCCTGGGAAAGCCGCCGTCCCTCTGCAGGTGAAGAAGCTCGTCTACGTGTACCTGGTGCGCTACGCCGAGGAGCAGCAAGACCTGGCCCTGCTGTCCATCTCCACCTTCCAGCGCGGCCTCAAGGTCAGCGGCCTCCTGGTGCTTCTGGGGCCTGAGTCTTGTTGGAGCCTGTGGGAGGAGGGCCTTGGGAGGCTCCTTCCTTTCTCCGAAATTGGGCCAGGCCCGTGGGAGTAGAGGCCAGGCTGAGAAGGGCTCGAGGAGGTGAGTGCCCAGCGCTTTTGCCTGGACGCTCCATGATCTGGCTCTATTTTCTTTGGCTATTGCGGAATAACATGGGTTCTTCAGCTCGCAGATCTGGAGCTACAGATGGCAAGGCTTGAACTCAGGGCCAGCTCAAGGCCAGCACTTAGCACTTTACCACTTGAGCCACAGACCCACTTCTGGCTTTTTTTGGTGGTTCATTGGAGGTAAGAGTCTTGGAGGACTTTCCTGCCCAGGCTGGCTGGAGCTACGATCTTCAGGTCTCAGCTCCTGAGTAGCCAGGATTACAGGCATGAGCCGTGAGCGAAGGTCTTCTTGCTTGCTGGCTGGTCTGCAGTCACGAGGTGGCTCAGGCATCACACTTGAAAGGGGCACACAAACGAGACCGACACTCTCTAGCTCGCCCGCTGGCCACTGCTTCAGAGTCCTCCTCACCCTCTTTCATTTGGGGAATGAGAATCACATTGGAATTCGAACTCGGGGCCTTGGTTGAGGTGAGAGTCTTGCAAACAGGGATGCTTTTAATGTCTCCTCCCAAGTAGCTGGGATTACAAGCATGAGCCACTTCAGTTTGATACATCTCTAAGAGGCGTCCTTCGTGCCCATGGTGGGAATTACATTTCAACACACAAAGTCCCCAGGCTGTCTGCAGTGTGAGTCACAGGAGCCGCCGACAGCGGAAACTCTGAGCCTTCGCCACTGTGCGACCGGGTCAGGCAGGCAGCAGAAGCTCCCTCCTGTCATCCTAGCTACTCAGGAAGCCGAGATCTGAAGAATTACGGTTCAAGGCCAGCCTGAGCAGAAGAATTCACAAGAACATACCCCCAAAATAAACAGTAAAAAAACAAAACAAAACAAAACAAAACTGGGCTGGAGTGTAGCTCACATGGTAGAGCTCCGGCCTAGCAAGTATGAGGCTCTGAGTTCAAACCCCAGTGCTGCCAAAAAAACAAACAAACAAAAACAGACCCAAACAAAGCAACAACAAAAACCATAGCACTGCCATCTACAGCCTAAGTACCCTGTCAAAAGGGAAAGCAGGTTTTTGTGACTCTCACTCATTTCCAAATAGAGAGTGAAAGTAAATCGGGGCTTGCTGATTGATGTAGTGTGATTTGAGTCCTGCAATTCAAGTAAGTGCTTCTAAACCACCCACTTAAATACCATTTCCAGAATTTTGCTAGGAATTACCAATTTCGCCTGCAGTTTCATGGATCTCTTTTTCCATTGTAGAAAGCTGGTAGCATCTCTGTGATGTTCCAGCACCTGCCACCGGTGTCTCTCCCTGAGATTAAACGTGATGTTTAGCTGCTGCTGTCACCAGCCATGGGGAGGCGGCCCTGGGCTCCATGGCTAGAATCAAGGGTGGCCCAGCTCTGGTTGGGTGGATGTAGGGTGCACAGGGGAGGGCCTCACAGCTCTTTGGATTGGGTGTGTAGGGTACAGTCAGCACAGGAGGGCCTCAGCTGTTCGGATCGGGTGTGTAGGGTACAGTCGGTACAGGGGAGGGCCTCAGCTGTTTGGATTGGGTGTGTAGGGTACAGTAGGCACAGGAGGGCCTCAGCTGTTCGGATCGGGTATGTAGGATACAATCAGCAAAGGGGAGGGCCTCACAGCTGTTCAGATCGGGTGTGTAGGGTACAGTCGGCACAGGGGAGGGCCTCACAGCTGTTCAGATCAGGTGTGTAGGGTACAGTCGGCACAGGAGGGCCTCAGCTGTTCGGATCGGTGTGTAGGATACAGTCAGCAAAGGGGAGGGCCTCACAGCTGTTCAGATCGGGTGTGTAGGGTACAGTCGGCACAGGGGAGGGCCTCACAGCTGTTCAGATCAGGTGTGTAGGGTACAGTCGGCACAGGAGGGCCTCAGCTGTTCGGATCAGTGTGTAGGATACAGTCAGCAAAGGGGAGGGCCTCACAGCTGTTCAGATCGGGTGTGTAGGGTACAGTCGGCACAGGGGAGGACCTCACAGCTGTTCAGATCAGGTGTGTAGGGTACAGTCGGCACAGGAGGGCCTCAGCTGTTCGGATCGGTGTGTAGGATACAGTCAGCAAAGGGGAGGGACTTACAGCTGTTCAGATCGGGTGTGTAGGGTACAGTCGGCACAGGAGGGCCTCACAGCTCTTCAGTCTCCAACAGCATGGAAGAGCAGTTTCTGAGAGGTTTCTGGGAGAGGTATGCAAGGGAGAAATGCCCTTGCACTTGCACTTGCTGGCCCTGCCCTGCCCCGCACACAGACACACAGACTCCTCGCTCCTAGAGAGCAGAAGTGGCTCTGAAAGGTCTTCACGCTTTCCCACTGCTGGGCTTCCCCTGGCCACGCTGCTCAGGTGTCACTAGGTGTGGCCTCCAGTACAGCCTCTGGCCTCAGGCCGGCAGGCAGGGAAGCCAGGCGGTGGAGGCAGCGGCCCTCGGGGAGCCCAGCCCCGCTCAGGCCGGCTCCGCCCCCACCTTTAGGACCCCAACCAGCTGATCCGCGCCAGTGCCCTGCGGGTGCTCTCCAGCATCCGGGTGCCCATCATAGTGCCCATCATGATGCTGGCCATCAAGGAGGCCGCCTCGGACATGTCTCCCTATGTGCGGAAAACGGCTGCCCATGCCATCCCCAAACTCTACAGGTAGGCCCTCTCCCCACCCCTGCCCTCTGTTCGCCTCCCAGGCTGCTCTTCACATGGCTTAGGAGAGTGTAGGGTCAGAGAAAGGCGGGGTGCACACCTCTTTATCCATAAGGTGGGGTGCAGGAGGTGTGCATGGCTCAGCAGCTACCAGGGGAGCTGGGGACAGGAGGGGACGGGAGGGGACAGGAGGGACAGGAGGGACAGGAGGGGACAGGAGGGACAGGAGGGGCAGGAGGGACAGGAGGGACAGGAGGGGACAGGAGGAGGCAAACTCCTGCCATCATTTCTCCCTCAGTTTGGACTCTGACCAGAAGGATCAACTGATAGAAGTCATTGAGAAGCTGCTGGCGGACAAGACCACGGTGCGTCCTCTCTCGGGGCAGGCAGTGCCCCCGCAGGTCCCGTGCCCTCCCTGGTCACCGCCCTCCCTTGCCTTTTGCCCCAGCTGGTGGCGGGCAGCGTGGTGATGGCATTCGAGGAAGTGTGCCCCGAGCGCATTGACCTGATTCACAAAAACTACCGCAAGCTGTGCAACCTGCTGATCGACGTGGAGGAGTGGGGGCAGGTGGTCATCATCAGCATGCTCACCCGCTACGCGCGCACGCAGTTCCTGAGCCCCACGCAGAACGTGAGTGACGGTGCCCGCCCGCATGGCCTCGGGGCCACCGTGGGCCTCGTGGGCCATCTCAGGCACCACGGGACCGTGGCCATCACGGTCACCGCGGCATCGCGGGCACCCTGGCCGCCGTGGGCGCGCGGTCGCCGAGAGGTGCCCACTGCCCCTGTCCCCGTCCAGGAGTCCCTGCTAGAGGAGAGTCCGGAGAAAGCCTTCTACGGCTCTGAGGAGGACGAGGCCAAGGGTCCAGGGTCGGGAGAGGCGGCCACCGCCGCGCTGCCCGCCCGCAAACCCTACGTCATGGACCCGGACCACCGGCTGCTGCTGCGCAACACGAAGCCGCTGCTGCAGAGCCGCAGCGCGGCGGTGGTCATGGCAGTGGCGCAGCTCTACTTCCACCTGGCGCCCAAGGCCGAGGTGGGCGTCATCGCCAAGGCGCTGGTGCGCCTGCTGCGCAGCCACAGGTGCGACGCCCCGCCCCGCCCGCGGCCCCGCCCCCTGCAAGAGGCCCCGCCCACCACAGGGAGACCAACTACTCCCCCCCCCCCCCCCCGTCAGTGCCACACCCACTGCAAAAGAGGCTCCACCCTCCCGCCGCCACGCCCACTGAGGAGCCCCGCCCCATCAACTCCCGAGCCCCGCCTACCCACAATTGGCCCACCCCAAGCTCCTGTCGGAGCCACGCCCACCAAAGAGGCCCCGCCCCCGTCGGCCCCGCCCTCGGGTTCTCCGCACCCGCGTGGAGATGCGGGACGCTAACGCGTGCTCTCCGCAGTGAGGTGCAGTACGTGGTGCTCCAGAACGTGGCCACCATGTCCATCAAGCGCCGGGTGAGCGCAGGCCGGGGCCGGGCGGGGGCGGGCGGGGGCGGGGCCTGGCAGGGGAGGGTGGGGGAAGCGGGGCGGGACCCGGGGCCCTCGGCCGCCGGGTGAGGGGCGGAGGCCAGGCCCGGCCGCCCGCTCGACCCGCTGGAGCTCCGGCCGCTCTCGCGCAGGGCATGTTCGAGCCCTACCTGAAGAGCTTCTACATCCGGTCCACGGACCCGACCCAGATCAAGATCCTGAAGGTGAGCGCCGCGCGGCCCTCGCGGACACAGCCGCCTCACCACGTCGTTTCCTCCGCGGGCGGCTGCGGCAGCCGTAGAGGGCCCGTCCTGGGCAGGGAGGACCTGGGTTCGCGTCCGCCAGCCCCGGGAAGGACTACCCGGAGGCCACGAGACACCGGCGGCTTGCGGGCCGGGCTGCGCCTCTCTCCCGCCAACACCCCGCGCGGGAAGTGGAGGGGAACCCCTCCTCCACGCAGCTTCCACGCCTGCTGTGACTCAGTCCTGCAGACCTAGGGTTCCAGAAGGATCCAGCCGGGCGGGCGGACGGGCCGGGCGCAGGGGGCAGGCAGACAGCAGAGCTCCGGATGCTCAGGTCTCCATTCTGGAAGCCTGGCAAGCTTTCAGGTTGTGTTGGAGTTGGGAGCGGCTTTCCGCACCTGATAGCTCCTGGGGTGAGAATCCTGTTAAGAGGAGCGGCTTATCTTAGACTTTGGTATTCTGACCCTGCCACCCTCCCCCTTCTGACCACCCTCCCTTTCCCTGCCACCCTCCCCCTTCTGACCACCCTCCCCTTCCCTGCCACCCTCCCCCTTCTGACCACCCTCCCCTTCCCTGCCACCCTCCCCCTTCTGACCACCCTCCCCTTCCCTGCCACCCTCCCCCTTCTGACCACCCTCCCCTTCCCTGCCACCCTCCCCCTTCTGACCACCCTCCCCTTCCCTGCCACCCTCCCCCTTCTGACCACCCTCCCCTTCCCTGCCACCCTCCTTTTTTTTTTTGTCATGTGTCTTGAACTCTGGGCCTGGGCATTGTCCCTGCGCTCTTCAGCTCAAGGTGAGCGCTGTACCGCTTGAGCCACAGTGCCACTTAAGGTTTTCTGGTGGCTTATTGGAGATTAAGTCTCACGGACTTTCCTGCCTGGGCTGGCTTTGAACCACAATCCTCAGATCTCAGCCTCCTGAGTAGCTAGGATGACAGGCGTGAGCCACCGGCTCCCGGCTTCTCCTCCTTCTGACTACCCTCCCCTCCCCTGCTCCCCTCCCCTCCCCTGCTCCCCTCCCCTCCCCTGCTCCCCTCCCCTTCCCTGCTACCCTCCCCCTCCTGATGGTCCTTCCCCCTCTGACTGCTCTCCCCACCTCTGGCAACCCTCTCTCCCTGCAGCTGGAAGTGCTGACCAACCTGGCCAACGAGACCAACATCCCTACTGTCCTGCGGGAGTTCCAGGTCAGGCCAGGGCCCAGGGCTGGGGGGCCAGGGGTTCTGCAGATGGCTTTGTGAAGTGAGAGCCCACTGGGGCCACCTGGCTGTGCCTAGAGTCCCTTGGGACGACCTTCCGGTGCCTTCTGCTGGCTGTGGGGTTGAGGAGCCCCTGGGTAGGGGTGGCACCCCCTCTCCAGATGGCGAGGGGTACAGTGAGTGGCCAGTCTTCCGGAAGGCCCCTCACAGGAGCGGCGGCACGGAGGGCTTGCTGCCTGCAGGGTCACTCTTGTGACATCCCACAGACCTACATCCGCAGCATGGACAAAGACTTCGTGGCCGCTACGATCCAGGCCATTGGCCGCTGTGCAACCAACATCGGCCGAGTCCGAGACACCTGCCTCAGTGGTTTGGTGCAGCTCCTGTCCAACCGCGACGGTCAGTGCCGCGCTGCCCGCCTGCTGGCTGGCGGGCAACCCGTCAGCCCACGTGCAAAGCACGCCCGCGCTCAGGCTGCCTCACCCACCGCCCAGGTGTTCCTACACCTCCGTTCACTCCAGAGAAGGGGGCGGGGAGAGGCTGAGGCTCCCGCAGCTGCCGGTGGGTCTGTCCGTCTGGCTGGCTTGGCACCCACACTTGTTCTATTCTCCTAGAGCTTGTGGTGGCAGAGTCGGTGGTGGTCATTAAGAAGCTGCTGCAGATGCAGCCGGCACAGCACGAGGAGATCATCAAACACTTGGCGAAGCTCACAGACAACATCCAGGTGAGGGGTAGTCCCGTGCGCTGTCGCACCCCAGCACCGTCCCAGGACTCGGGGCCCTGCCGTGAAACGCTCGCGTCTCGCAATAGCAGCTTGCAAGGCTCCCACAGTGGCTTGGGAAGGTCTTTTCGTGGAAGGAGGAGAGACGAGAGTGTGCGACCCGAATGTGGGCGCCCCAGGGTCAGCCCCTCCCGGGCTGCCTCCGAGCTCCACAGCATTGATCACAGCTGAGGATGGCTGGCTGTGTTTCCTATTGCACTGTGGATTGAAGCATCTATACTTGGTGGATACATGGCTTCAAGGGTACAGCAAATCCCGAACGTCAGGACCAGGCCTGAGGCTCTGCGTACGCGCAGGAAGCCTTAGGGACGGCAGGGAGGCTGGCTGGAAAGGGCTTGCCTTTCCATCCTGCCCCCATTCCATGCTCAGCCAGCCCAGCTGCCCACCCACATTGCCGTGCTCACCCTGGTCGGTCCCTGCTGCTCCCTGCCCCACAGGTGCCCATGGCCCGAGCCAGCATCCTGTGGCTCATTGGGGAGTACTGTGAGCACGTCCCCAAGATCGCACCTGATGTGCTGAGGAAAATGGCCAAGTCGTTCACGGCAGAGGAGGACATCGTCAAGCTGCAGGTCATCAACCTGGCGGCCAAGCTCTACCTGACCAACTCGAAGCAGGTAAAGACCCAGAGCTGTGCACACCGGTCCTCTTCGGTCCTTATAAACTCCCCTAGCTGGGCTGGGAAGGTGGCTCAGTGGTAGAGTGCTTGCCTTGCATGCATGAGGCCCTGGGTTCGATTCCTCAGCACCACATAAGCAGAAAATGCTGGAAGTGGCACTATGGCTCAAGTGGTAGAGTGTTAGTCTTGAGCTGAAGAGCTGAGGGTCAGCGCCCAGGCCTAGAGTTCAAGCCCCACGACCGAAAACAACAACAACAACTCCCTTAGCCTGTTTGTGTGTGTGCGCGTGTGCGTACATGCATGCATGCACGCGTGCCTGTGCACCTGTGTGCACTTTGGGACACTTGTGGCTAACAGAAAACCCCACAGTGACAGGCACTCATGGGTCGGTGTGCATCCCAGGAGCCGCGCTGCGCTTCATTCCAAGGCCTGGTGATGGTTAGCCCTTTGCGCTCTCAGCAAGGGCCCAGGCTGTCCTTGGCTTTAGAGGTGCTGGTGCATAATGTCTTTTGATCCCAGGCTGTGGTTCGTTCATAAACGGGCACATCTGGGGGCGAGGGCCTCTTGGGTACCTGACAGCCCTGACGGGACCCCAGGCGATCCTGAGAGTAGGTGTGATGCACAGCGCTTGCTGGGATGTTGGAAACGTCACCCACCCACACCGTGCCTACTCTCACAGTCCCATTCAGCTACTCTTACCCCTGGGCAAAATCTGTTGCCTGTTTTTTTTTTTTTTTATAAAGTTTTATTGGAACATGCAGTGCTCGTTTGGCTCTGTGTTGTCTATGGCTGTTTCTGTGCTCCAGCCACAGAGTTGACTGCTTGAAACAGTCTGTGTGGCCCGGAAAGCCTACAGCAGTTACAACTGAGGCCCTGGATAGAAGAGGTTTGCAGATTCAGCAAAACATGGAGGGGCAACTGGGGTCAGGGTTGGGCCCCGCAGAGTGCAGTACCTGGCTCAGCCTGAAGGGGGCCTCCTGGCCATCATGGCCGCTAGCCTCAGCCCCAGGGACTCAGGTAGGACTCAGGGGCGGGAAAGGTGGTGACAGTTTGTTACAGGATTATTGCTTCCTCCATTTATTTACCATACGCTTCCTGACTGCTTGTTTGCCTGGCACGAGTGTAGCCATGTCCTGGGGATATAACCACGTGTGTAGGACAAATTAGTCTCCACATGCTCATAGCCACATGGGAGAAAGAATACAAAATGAGCACTTTATCCACAGAGCTGCAGACAGAGCTGACGGAGGGATGTGGGTGTGAGTAGCCAGCTAGCGGACCAGAGGGCCACAGCCCCAATCCGGGCACCCAGGATGGGCTGGCCAGACAACTGACACTGACCCTAGGTCGTTCTTCACTGGAAGGCGGGACGTTGCAGAATGGCTTTTGGAATCGGAGAGGTTTTCCTCCTCTCCTTCCCCTTTTCTTTCTTTCTGGGTTGGGAGTGGAGGAGCTGGTGCCTGGCACGTGGGAGGGGAGAGGCTCTTCTGTGCACACTGCTGCCCTACCATAGCTCCGCCCCCCGCCCCCCTGTCCCGGTGCTATGGGGGACAGTGGAGGCCGCTACAAGCCCACACAGGTCCCGACCTTCTGACGCTAGATCCCGGTCGGGCCGAGAGATGACTGTGCCCCATGGCTGGGCAGCAGGTCCTGATTCTCGGTAGGAGGCCCGAGGGCTCTGTGCACGCAGCGGCCCAGGGCGTGGGGCTTGGTGGTAGTGGAGGGTCAGGACACAGGAAAGCGGCCCAAAGTGCATCTGCCAGGTGAGCTGCTTTTCTGTACCACAGTCAGCACGAGTGCGCCTGGAGATCCCCGCCCAACAGGACAGCTCCAGAGCCTCCTGGGCCCGCCCTCGGGCAGCCACCGAGCCACCTTTCCTTCCTCCCCCAGACCAAGCTGCTGACCCAGTACGTGCTGAGTCTAGCCAAGTACGACCAGAACTACGACATCCGCGACCGGGCGCGCTTCACCCGGCAGCTCATTGTCCCCTCGGAGCAGGGCGGGGCCTTCAGCCGCCATGCCAAGAGGCTCTTCCTGGCCCCCAAGCCGGCCCCCGTCTTAGAGTCATCTTTCAAAGGTGGGAGGCCTGCCTCCAGGGCAGGACAGCCCCCTGGGGGAGACAGGAAGCAGCCAAGGCCCCGGCCTCAGGCTCAGCCAGCACCAGGCTTCGGTCGGAGGGGACATGGCACTCACGGTGTCCGATCGCCCCTTTCTCTCCTGCAGCAGCTGGTGCCTACTCTCCCACCCACCAGCACCGCTGCCCTCTGGCCAGCAGACCCCCGTCCTCCCAGGCCTCAGGCTTGGGAGTCCACCTCAACACATTAAAAACCAGCAACGGGGGAGACAGCGAGGAGTGAGCGATGTGCTCCTAAGGGTCCCGAGTTCACCTGCAGCCAGCCCACCTCCCCCCCTCCCCGCCTCACCTCTGCTCCAGGGTCTGCCCTGAAAGGAGAGGGGCTCCATCCAGCCCTCTGACCACAGGACCAGTGCTCGGCCTTCCTAGAGTGCCCTTCACGCTGCTTCTCTTCCCTGGACCTCAGGAATGGGGGTTTCAGCTCTGAGTCTCCCCGAGGGAAGGGCAGCCATCCTGACTTCTAGTGTGTCCCCAGATCGAGACCACTTCCAGCTGGGCTCTCTGTCCCACCTGCTCAACGCCAAAGCCACGGGCTACCAGGAACTCCCAGACTGGCCGGAGGAAGCCCCAGACCCGTCTGTGCGCAACGTGGAGGTCAGCAAGGGTGCACGTGTGTGTGTGTGTGTGTGTGTGCGCGCGCGTGTGAGTGCACGTTGGCTGGCCAGGCCCCTTGACACCCTCCCCTGTGCAGGAAGAAGACCTCTCCCTAATTGAGACACGCGTGGGCCTGCTGGGCGGATACACCGAGGTTCCCGTGTGCCGTGTGCCCACCCCTTCCCCGTGTGCTGCCCCACCCTGCAATGCTTCCTCCTTGGCAGGCAGCGCCCCCCCCCTTCTGTGGACTGGGTCTCTCTCCTCCCCAACTCCCGCTGGGGCCAGACAAATAGGGCCCCAGGAAGATGTGAAGGGACTGCACGCACTGCCCTTTCCCCTCCATACAAAAGGACACGCTCTCACCCACCCTGTCCAGGTGCCCGAATGGACCAAGTGCTCAAGCCGGGAGAGGAGGAAGGAGAAGGAGAAGCCCTTTTACTCCGACTCCGAGGGGGAGTCCGGCCCCACCGAGTCTGCAGACAGCGGTAAGATGGCAGAGCTGCGCCCCTGGGCTCCATGTGTGATGGGTCCACCTGGTCAGTGACTGAGCGGCTCTGCGTATGTGTGCATGTTGCACACGCCCCTTGGTGGTGAAGCACGTAGACCTGTCTGTGTTCACATTGGTGGCGAAGCGTGTATACTGTCTGTGTTCACATGGGTTCCTCTTGGCGTCGGGGGCCGAGTGTGTCAGAGGCTTGGAGCTCTGGAGCTGAGTCTGGTGCTGAGTTGAGCTGGGGCCCATGTGTCCGCTCAGGACGGGGGTGGGGGGCGACCAGCGACACTGTTCCTGGCAGAGCCCGAGTCTGAGAGCGAGTCAGACAGCGAGAGTGGCTCCGGGGCATCCAGCAGTGAGTCGGACAACGAAGACCAGGACGAGGACGAGGACAAAGGGAGAGGCAGTGCGAGGTTAGAGGACCCCACTGGGCGGAGGGGCCGGGTGTGGGGGCTCAGGCGTGGCCTGTGTGTCCGTGAGGCGGAGTAGGCCGCAGGTGGACCTGGCCCCGCCTCCCCCCAGCGAGAGTGAGGGAGAGGGAGAGAAGAAGATGAAGAAGAGGAAGAAGGGGTCCGAGGGCGCCGGAGAAGGCTCTTCCTCCGATGATGACAGCGACTCCAGCAGCGACTCGTCAGAGTCCGAGGAGACATCAGAGACAGAGGAGGAGCAGGCAGAGGCCACCGCATGGAGGAGGAAAACAGTGAGGACTGGCCAGGGCCTTCCCACCCCAGGTCAGATGCGGCTCAGGCCTTTCCACCGCTTCTCACGTCGCCCTGTTTTCTCTTTCAGCCCCCCAGCAGCAAAAGCACCCCTGCAGCCAAGGAGATCTCCCTGCTTGATCTGGAGGACTGTGAGTTTGGGTGGTGGAACTCGTGGGGGACAGAGGCTGGCCTGGGGGCTCTGGGCCGGGCCCTGCCCGGGGAGCCTCTAGGCGGCCGGCGCTCGCTGTCCATGGTGCTGAGCATGTGCTCCTTGCGTCCTGGGCTCCCCTCAGCCCACACCACCCCACCTTGCCTCGCCACAGTCACGCCTCCCAGCGTCCAGCCTGTGTCTCCCGCCACGGTGGTGTCTGCCAGTCTGGTTGCTGACCTTGAGGGCCTGACGCTCACAGACTCCTCTCTGGTGCCCTCGGTGAGTGGGCTGGGGGAGGGACGGGGCCAGTCAGGGATGGGGGGGTCTGGGACCCAGAGTCCTAACTGCTGTCTGCCGCACTCCCCCTCCCGCTTCCCAGCTGCTGAGCCCGGTGTCCAGCGCAGGAAGGCAGGAGCTGCTGCACCGCGTGGCCGGTGAGGGCCTGGCTGTGGACTACGCCTTCAGCCGCCAGCCTTTCTCCGGGGACCCGCACATGGTGTCTGTGCACATCTACTTCTCCAACAGCTCTGAGACACCCATTCGGGGGCTGCGTGTGGGCACCCCCAAACTGCCTGCTGGCATCAGCATCCAGGAATTTCCAGAAATCGGTACCAGAGGGCGTAGAGCGGGGACGGGGTGGAGATGCCCGGGCCGGACCCCTTAGGCCAGGCCGGGGGGTCACAGAGGTGGCACAGCCGGGCTGAGCCCAGGTGGACCAGACAGGCCAGCGAGGCCCTGCCGGGGCAGGAGGCGCCAGGAGTGGCAGACTTGGGCCTTGGAGCGAGGATGGGCAAGGGACAGGTGTTTGGATTTCAGGAGGAAACGGGTCCAGAGGCAGGGCTGCGGGGGGGGGGCTGTGAACTGAGGGGGAGGGCAGAAGCGTTGCCAGGGCTGCGGGGGGGGTGGGCTGTGAACTGAGGGGAGGGCAGAAGCGCAGGGCTGCGGGGGGGGGGGCTGTGAACTAAGGGGAGGGCAGAAGCGCTGCCAGGGCTGTGGGGGGGGGGCTGTGAACTGAGGGGAGGGCAGAAGCGCTGCCAGGGCTGTGGGGGGGGCACTGTGAACTGAGGGGAGGGCAGAAGCGCAGGGCTGCAGGGGGGGCGCTGTGAACTGAGGGGAGGGCAGAAGCGCTGCCAGGGCTGCGGGGGGGGGGTCTGTGAACTGAGGGGAGGGCAGAAGCGCTGCCAGGGCTGCGGGGGGGGGGGTGCTGTGAACTGAGGGGAGGGCAGAAGCGCTGCCAGGGCTGCGGGGGGGGGGGCTGTGAACTGAGGGGAGGGGCTGCGGGGGGGGCTGTGAACTGAGGGGAGGGGCTGCGGGGGGGGGGGCTGTGAACTGAGGGGAGGGCAGAAGCGCTGCCAGGGCTGCGGGGGGGGTGGGCTGTGAACTGAGGGGAGGGCAGAAGCGCAGGGCTGCGGGGGGGGGGGCTGTGAACTGAGGGGAGGGCAGAAGCGCTGCCAGGGCTGCGGGGGGGCGCTGTGAACTGAGGGGAGGGCAGAAGCGCTGCCAGGGCTGCGGGGGGGGGGCTGTGAACTGAGGGGAGGGCAGAAGCGCTGCCAGGGCTGCGGGGGGGGGTGTGAACTGAGGGGAGGGCAGAAGCGCTGCCAGGGCTGCGGGGGGGGGGCTGTGAACTGAGGGGAGGGCAGAAGCGCTGCCAGGGCTGCGGGGGGGCGCTGTGAACTGAGGGGAGGGCAGAAGCGCTGCCAGGGCTGCGGGGGGGGGCTGTGAACTGAGGGGAGGGCAGAAGCGCTGCCAGGGCTGCGGGGGGGGGGGCGCTGTGAACTGAGGGGAGGGCAGAAGCGCTGCCAGGGCTGCGGGGGGGGGTGTGAACTGAGGGGAGGGCAGAAGCGCTGCCAGGGCTGCGGGGGGGGGGTGCTGTGAACTGAGGGGAGGGCAGAAGCGCTGCCAGGGCTGCGGGGAGGGCAGAAGCGCAGGGCTGCGGGGGGGGGGGGCTGTGAACTGAGGGGAGGGCAGAAGCGCAGGGCTGCGGGGGGGGGTGTGAACTGAGGGGAGGGCAGAAGCGCTGCCAGGGCTGCGGGGAGGGCAGAAGCGCAGGGCTGCGGGCGGGGGGGTGAACTGAGGGGGGGCAGAAGCGCAGGGCTGCGGGGGGGGTGTGAACTGAGGGGGGCAGAAGCGCTGCCAGGGCTGCGGGGGGGGGTGTGAACTGAGGGGGGGGCAGAAGCGCTGCCAGGGCTGAGGGGGGGGCGCTGTGAACTGAGGGGAGGGCAGAAGTGCAGGGCTGCGGGGGGGGGTGTGAACTGAGGGGAGGGCAGAAGCGCAGGGCTGCGGGAGGGCTGTGAACTGAGGGGGGGGCAGAAGCGCAGGGCTGCGGGGGGGGCTGTGAACTGCGGGCAGGGCAGAAGCGCTGCCAGGGCTGCGGGGAGGGCAGAAGCGCAGGGCTGCGGGGGGGGGGGTGAACTGCGGGGAGGGCAGAAGCGCTGCGCCCTCCGGGCTCCTCAGGCTCCACCATCTCCTGTGCTCCCTTCCCCGCCGCCGTCAGAGTCGCTGGCACCCGGAGAGTCTACAACGGCTGTCCTGGGCATTAATTTCTGTGATTCCACCCAAGCTGCCAACTTCCAGCTGTGGTGGGTGTCGCACGGGTGCGTGCGTGTGCGCGTGGAGGTGGGCGGGCGGGAGCCGGCGGGGCAGTGTCTGGGAGATCCAGGTTCACCCTTCGGCTGCCCCTGGGTGGGGAGGGAGGTTGGCCTCACCTCCTGCCTTCTCCTACCCTTCCCAGCACTCAGACACGACAGTTCTATGTCTGCATTCAGCCTCCCGTTGGGGAGCTGATGGCCCCTGTGTTCATGAGTGAGAACGAGTTCAAGAAGGAGCAGGGTAAGCGCTCCCCACACCCTGGACTGGTGTCCCAAGCCCCACGGGACTGGGACCAGGAGGGGGGAAAGGGGAGGAGCGAGGGGAGTTGGGGCCTGCAGCTGAGCCTTCACAGAGCCTTCACTGCACTCAGCTAGCACGAGGTCTAGGCAGGGAAACAGCATGTGCAGGGGCGGGGTGGGGGGGAGCAGGAAGAGGTGGAGAGAGAGGGGAGCAGGGGGGTGGGGGGGAGAGGGGAGCAGGGGGGGCGGGGGGGAGAGGAGAGCACGGGTGGGGCGGGGGGGGGGGGGGAGAGGGGAGCAGTCTGACCCCGGGCACTGGGGGTCAAAGCTACAAGACTTTAGTCTAACATCCTGGAGCCCTCTCCCCCACCAGCATGGGGTAGGGGAAGGGGCAGGCTCTGGAAGGGTGCCCTGGGATGGTCTGGAGGCTGCAGTACCACACCCCTCTGACACTCGGGGTGCAGCATGTTGGGGGTAGTCGTGGGGGACCGGCTGAAGCCTGGACGGAGACTGTGACCTGATTTGGGGAGGCATTGGGCCAGAAGGGGAAGGGCGTCTGGGCACTGGCATGGTGGAGGATCTCCCAGAAAGAATGTTCTAGAAAGACTTGAACATGGCCAGACTGGAGGTACAGAGGCAAGGCTGTGAGGATGGGCAAGATGGGGTGAGCTGTGTCTTCTGTGGAGGGGCGGGTGAGGAGGGTGCAGCCTGCCTCCGCAGGAAAGCTGATGGGCATGAACGAGATCACAGAGAAGCTGCTGCTGCCGGACTGCTGCCGGAGCGACCACGCCGTGGTGCAGCGGGTGACCGCCACCGCCCACCTGGGCCGCGTGCCCTGCGGGACCTCGGAGGAGTACAGGTGCCAGGGGAGGAGGGATGGCTGCGGGGCCCAGCCCCGGCCCAGCTCAGTGGCCTTCAGCCCCGCCCTCCCCCCCTCTACCCACCTCAGGTTTGCAGGCCGGACGCTGAGCAGCGGAAGCCTGGTCCTGCTCACTCTGGACGCCCGGCCGGCGGGAGCTGCCCAGCTCACCGTCAACAGCGAGAAGATGGTGATAGGCACCATGCTGGTGAAGGATGTGATTCAGGCTCTGACCCAGTGATGTCCCCCCCTCCCCCCCCCCCAGGCCATCAGCCTCCGCCTGGCAGCCTCCCAGTCCTCCTTCCTCCCCCGCTAGTGTTGACCAGGCCCAACCCCAGCACCTAGTGACCTGTGCAGACAGACGGCTGCTTCCTTCACTCTCCCAGCTTTCTGTAGCTATTTATTTAGCCCAGAGCAGCCCGCTGGGGGTGGCTGGGCCTAGGGGTGGCCTTGCAGCTTGGGGCTGGCTTGGAACCTTTCCCACATTTTGATTGACGGGGTTCTGGGACACACTCTTATGACAGTTTGAGATGGGTAACTCAGCTTCCAACCCCCAACGACCTACTAATTACTCCCATCCCTTGTCTGTTTAAATGAAGTCCTGATATATCCCCAGCATAAAGAAAACCCCTGAGGTATGGTGGCTCGAGCCTGTAGTTGTAGCAACCCGGAAGGGGAAGATGGCCACCTCAATTCCAGCCTGAAAGGCGCTAAAGCGGACCCAGTTGCCGGGACTCCATGTCAGCCAGCGCCTGGGTGCAGGGGTGCCGGCCTGCATCCGTCATGGTCATGGTGGAGAAGTACAAGTAGGGTTACAGTCCAGAACAGCTTAGCAAAAAGGAAGATCCTGTCCGGACAAAAACGAACACAGCAAAGGGACCAGGAGGGTGGCTGAAGTGGAAGAGCACCTGCCGAGCAGGGAGGAGGCTCCCACCTAAAACCCCCAATCACCAAGCAAGAAACAAACCTGCCTGAACACTGATCACTCAACAAGCCCCGCCCCCCCCCAAGTAAAACTACACTGGGTTTTCTGCTTATCAGTGCCAGCATATTCTGGTACTTTTAGTATGTACATTCCCAGACATTGTGCTGTGTAACCATAGTGTACCATGCATCTTGATTATTTATAAATAGCATCTTTACCTATTCTCCTGCTTGTTGCTTTTTTTCTGTGTTGAGTCATACATAATGCTATTCCTTTATTTCATTTACTTTTATATACATATGTGTGCATACTACTCTACTACTGCAGGGTTATTTTACAATTTATTCACTATCAGGATTTATTCCTATCAGGATTTAAGATTATTTTGTCTTTATTGTCAATTCCCTCTTCCCATCTTTGCCCATTTTTCTTTGCAATTGTCCTTTTTCTTCATTGCTTTTAAACATTCTTAGAAACTAACATAATGCAGTTTCATATTGCAAATATTGGCTTCCAGTTTATGGATTGCCTTTTAGGTTTTTGTCGGTGGTGGGGCTTGAACTCTGGGCTTGAGCTCTTCAGCTCAAGGCGAGCGCTCTGCCCCTGGAGCCACAGCACCACTTCTGGTTTTCTGGTGGTTCACTGGAGATCAGAGTCTCACGGACTTTCCTGCCTGGGCTGGCTTTGAACTACGATCCTCAGCTCTCAGCCTCCTGAGGAGCTGGGATGACAGGCGTGAGCCACTGGGCTCTTACAGCTTTGAACTCTAAGGTCAAATTTCACGCTCTGTTCTGGCTCTTGTTTATAAAGCTCACAGGCCAAGGTAATAAGAATGTCCTCATGGTCTTCTGGGAGCTGCAGTGCGCGCTCTTCACGTTCCTACCGTTTCAAGTTTAATCTGATGATGCCGTTCACCTCCCCCGGCTCTGGTCTCTGCGGCCAGGACCAGAAGGCCACCACTTCCTCCCAGCCGTCCCGTGCTTCTTTCAGCTCCCGCGCCTGGGAGCTCATCGCCGGCGACCTTTAAACCCTCCTCGTCTGACCTTTGCAGGCCCGCAGGCCGGCCTGCCTCGGACCGTGTCTGTTGGGTCCGGCCAGGGGTCAGCTGTGGGGCCTTGACCCCCGAGGCCGGGGGGTCGGGGGGCCCGCCGGCGGCCCCGCGCCCGCCCGCCGTCTTCCCGAGCCAGGCTGCGGGGCCTCGGGGGCGTCGGGCCGGGGCCCCGCACGGCGCAGGCCGCCCGCGGCCTCCGGGGTCGCCCGGACTCTGCATCCGGAAGGCGTTCGCTCAGCTTCGCCCGCCACGCGCGGCGGGGCCGGGCCTGGGCGCGGGGCCGGGAGGCTGCGGGCCCGGCCCCGCCGCGCCGGCGTGCGGCCCGGCGCCCCGTCCCCGCGAGCCGCCCCGCCCTCCCGGAGCCGGGGCCCGGCGCGCCCGCTCCCGCGGGCCGGGAACTTTCTGGAAGCCGAGCCCCCGGGACGGGGCGCGGGCGGCCGGGGCGGACGCGGAGGAGGGGCGCCACGCCGGGCTCCGCGGCCCGGCCCCGGGGGTGCGTACCTCCTCCCGGGGGAAACTGAGGCCCAGGGCCCGCCGGCCGGGCGCCGGGCCGGGGGTGCGGGCGCCGAGGGGGCGGGCGCCGGGCGGGGCCGACACAGGTGCCCCGCATCCGGCCCGCGGGCGGCTCGGCCGCGCCTTAAAAGCCGCCGAGGGCGCGGCGCCGCGCGGCTGCTGCCCCGCTGGCGCCCACGTGCGTGCGGCCCTCGCCCCGCCGCCCCGCCGCCGCCGCCGCCGCCGCCTCCCGGCCCGGCCCGGCCCGCAGAGCCCCGCCGGCCCCATGGCGTTCGCGTCGGTAAGAGCGGCCGCGGGCCGGGCGGGGCCGGGCCCGGCGCTAACGGTCCGCGCGCCCGGGCGGGGCGCGAGTCCCCGGCGGCGGCGGGCGCGGGCCCCGCGGGGGGGGGGGGTGAGGGGAGGCGGGCGGCGGGGGAGGGGAGGGCGGGGGGGAGGGGGAGGGGAGGGCGGGGGGCCGGGCGGGAGGAGGCGCCGCGGCCCCCGCCCCGTGACTCAGGGCCTTTGCGCTTAAAGGCGCCGCGGCCCTCGGGGCGCCGCCCGCCGGGGCCTGGGAGCCGCTGCCGCCTCGGAGCGCGGGTCCAGCCGGGAGCGGGCGGGCGCCGCGGGCTCCTCGCGCCCGCCGCTCGCGGGGCCCGGGGCCGCCGGCGGCTCGCGCGGCGGGCGGAGGCGGGCCACCCCTTCGCGGGCAGCGCCGCGACGGCGCGCGCGGCCCCTTTAAGGCGCGGGGCTGGGCGCCGCGTGCCGGGCCGCGGTCACGTGGCTTCACACGTTCGCGCCCGGCCGGGCGGGCGGCGCAGGCGCGGGGCGGCGGCGGGCACGTGCGGCGGGGCTTCGAGCCCGGGAGCCCGGGAGCCCGCGGCTGTGAGGTGGGTCCGGGGCGGGGACGCCGTGCGGGGCGCGGGGGACGCGGGGCCGCCTCCACGCCGCCCGGCCGGACTGCGCGAGCGCTCCGGGCGGCGCCTCAGCCGGGCCGGGGAGCACGGGGCCGCGGGCGCCTCAGCCGGGCCGGGGAGCACGGGGCCGCGGGCGCCTCAGCCGGGCCGGGGAGCACGGGGCCGGGGAGCACGGGGCCGGGGAGCACGGGGCCGCGGAGCACGGGGCCGGGGAGCACGGGGCCGGGGAGCACGGGGCCGGGGAGCACGGGGCCGCGGGCGCCTCAGCCGGGCCGGGGAGCACGGGGCCGCGGGCGCCTCAGCCGGGCCGGGGAGCACGGGGCCGCGGAGCACGGGGCCGGGGAGCACGGGGCCGCGGAGCACGGGGCCGGGGAGCACGGGGCCGGGGAGCACGGGGCCGGGGAGCACGGGGCCGGGGAGCACGGGGCCGCGGAGCACGGGGCCGGGGAGCACGGGGCCGGGGAGCACGGGGCCGGGGAGCACGGGGCCGGGGAGCACGGGGCCGCGGAGCACGGGGCCGGGGAGCACGGGGCCGCGGGCGCCTCAGCCGGGCCGGGGAGCACGGGGCCGGGGAGCACGGGGCCGGGGAGCACGGGGCCGCGGAGCACGGGGCCGGGGAGCACGGGGCCGGGGAGCACGGGGCCGCGGAGCACGGGGCCGGGGAGCACGGGGCCGCGGAGCACGGGGCCGCGGGCGCCTCAGCCGGGCCGGGGAGCACGGGGCCGGGGAGCACGGGGCCGGGGAGCACGGGGCCGCGGAGCACGGGGCCGGGGAGCACGGGGCCGGGGAGCACGGGGCCGGGGAGCACGGGGCCGCGGGCGCCTCAGCCGGGCCGGGGAGCACGGGGCCGGGGAGCACGGGGCCGGGGAGCACGGGGCCGGGGAGCACGGGGCCGCGGGCGCCTCAGCCGGGCCGCGGAGCACGGGGCCGGGGAGCACGGGGCCGGGGAGCACGGGGCCGCGGAGCACGGGGCCGGGGAGCACGGGGCCGGGGAGCACGGGGCCGGGGAGCACGGGGCCGGGGAGCACGGGGCCGCGGAGCACGGGGCCGGGGAGCACGGGGCCGCGGGCGCCTCAGCCGGGCCGGGGAGCACGGGGCCGGGGAGCACGGGGCCGGGGAGCACGGGGCCGGGGAGCACGGGGCCGGGGAGCACGGGGCCGCGGGCGCCTCAGCCGGGCCGCGGAGCACGGGGCCGGGGAGCACGGGGCCGGGGAGCACGGGGCCGGGGAGCACGGGGCCGGGGAGCACGGGGCCGCGGGCGCCTCAGCCGGGCCGCGGAGCACGGGGCCGGGGAGCACGGGGCCGGGGAGCACGGGGCCGGGGAGCACGGGGCCGGGGAGCACGGGGCCGCGGGCGCCTCAGCCGGGCCGGGGAGCACGGGGCCGGGGAGCACGGGGCCGGGGAGCACGGGGCCGCGGAGCACGGGGCCGCGGAGCACGGGGCCGGGGAGCACGGGGCCGGGGAGCACGGGGCCGCGGAGCACGGGGCCGGGGAGCACGGGGCCGCGGGCGCCTCAGCCGGGCCGGGGAGCACGGGGCCGGGGAGCACGGGGCCGGGTAGCACGGGGCCGGGGAGCACGGGGCCGGGGAGCACGGGGCCGGGGAGCACGGGGCCGCGGGCGCCTCAGCCGGGCCGCGGAGCACGGGGCCGCGGAGCACGGGGCCGCGGGCGCCTCAGCCGGGCCGGGGAGCACGCTGTGGAGGACGCGAGGAGCGAGGACGCTATGGAGGGAAGGCAGTGCGGAGGGAGGACGCTGTGGAGGGAGGACGCTGTGGAGGGAGGGCAGTGCGGAGGGAGGACGCTGTGGAGGGAGGACGCTGTGGAGGGAGGGCAGTGCGGAGGGAGGACGCTGTGGAGGGAGGACGCTGTGGAGGGAGGGCAGTGCGGAGGGAGGACGCTATGGAGGGAAGGCAGTGCGGAGGGAGGACGCTGTGGAGGGAGGACGCTGTGGAGGGAGGGCAGTGCGGAGGGAGGGCAGTGTGGAGGGAGGGCAGTGTGGAGGGAGGACGCTGTGGAGGGACGGCAGTGCGGAGGGAGGGCAGTGTGGAGGGAGGACGCTGTGGAGGGAGGGCAGTGTGGAGGGAGGGCAGTGTGGAGGGAGGACGCTGTGGAGGAGGCTGAGGCCCAGGCTGCAATGGTGTCTGCCGGTCTCTCCCCAGGGCTTCCTGGGGTAGAGGCTGGGCCAGCCTGGGCTGTGGGCTGGCTGCTTGCACTGAGGGCCGCTGACGATGCCTGCAGGGTGCACCCTCACCATCACTCCCCTGCCCTGCGTGAAGGAGCCCTCCCCTACACCCCCTATCACCTCCACCCCCTTGTGTGAGGGTGAATGCCCCCCCATGGAGAGCCCTCCCCCCCACCCCGGTGCCTGAGGGTGAGCCCTCCCCTCTACTCTCCCCTCCCCCATGGACAAGGTCAAGCCCTCCACCTCCTCCCACTGGGCCAGCCTCTCCCCAGTGAGGAAGGGAAACTGCCGAACCCCCCCCCCCCACCGGCCCTCCACGAGCGGTCCATTGGGAGAACACTTGCAGTGGGTGCCCAGGAATCTCCTTGGGCCACCTGCAGAAAGGCAAGGTGGATCCTGAGACCCAGGTGGACACTGAGCCACACAGGAAGTGTTTCACTGAGCACAGGCTGTCAGTCTCTGATCCACCTGTAACTGGGGAGGACTGGGGACAGCTGCGTGGAGAAGCCCTGGGAGCTGCAGCTGCCTGGCAAACACGGCCCAGCGTTGATGGTCAAAACCCTCATTTCCTAGTTAAAGCCGACACTCTTTTAGTGGCTTTTAAACATGGCAATTAAAAACTACTGGATGACACCAGCGGCTTACGCCTGTAATCCTAGATAGGAGGCTGAGCTCTGAAGATCACAGTTCACAGCCAGCCTGGGTCAAAACTCCATGAGACTCTTACCTCCAGTTAACCACCTAAAAGCTGGAAGTGGAGCTGTGGTTCAAGTGGTAGAGTGCCAACTTTGAACACAAAAAGGCAGGGATGGTACCCAGGCCCTGAGTTCAAGCCCTAGAACCAGCAACAAAATGAAATAAAAAAAAAAACAACAGTATTGAGAGCATATAAGGTGACTTTTAATGCTGCATCTCCTGAAAGCTTGTTTGGGGGTCTGTCTTGGGACTCCCCTGCTAGAAGAACCAGGGTCATACGCAGCCACCAGTGGAGAATGGGAATCAGGGCCTCAGCCTGCCCCCTTTGCTTGGGCCCTGTGGCGGGTGGTGTGGAATATAGTGCCCTGTGGTTGGTTCCGGCTGAAGATCAGGCCCAGGACCCTAGAGGGCTTTGTTGCTGTGGGAGCTGGTGTGGGTCAGCCAGCACTAGTGGAGCAGTGTTGGTGTTATCTGGAATGTGCTGTATCCTTCATTCTGTGACGGGTGGCCAAAGTTAGCCAACGGGGTGCAAGCAGTTCCTCCCACCCGCGGCCTGGCCCCCTCTCCCCATGACAAAAGCCGAAAACCCAGCCTTCTGAGACAAGGCACATGTGAAGTTACACAACCAAGGATCTGTGCAAGTAGAATTGAGCTTAAAAATAAGCCTCCCCCTCCCTCTTCCATTGCTGGGGCCAGGAGATTTCATAGCCAGCATTCTACCACTTGAGCCAAACCTCTAGTCTCAACTCTTCTGCTGATTAATTGGAAGTAAGAGTCTAATGCATTTGTCTGCCTGGGCTGGCTTTGAACTATGGTCCTCCTTTCTCTTCCTCCTGAGTAATTAGGAGTTTCGCCTGGCTGTCACTTTTTCTGTCTTTCCTAAAACTCCCATAATGTCTCAGATTTCCAGACAGAAGGGACAAATTAATAAGGTTTTATTGTTTTGTTTTTGGTTCTGGGTATTGCACATAATACCCCTGAGCTCTCCATCTAGCTCCTAATAAAGGTGTTCAGTTTTGTTTAGATGTCAGCTCATGGTAAAATCTTAGGGACAAGCTCCAGAGGTGTAAGCGTGACTTGACCCTGGCATGGAGGACCAAGTTTTAATTTGGGGTAAAACTTAGAATCTCAGTGTCGGCTTATACACAGCAATACTAACGCGTATAAAGGGCCACAAGCACTTAGTTCTGTGTCTTATCCAAGAGTTTAATGCTGCAAAGAACCGTCAAAGCCTTTGCCAAGTGGACTTTTCTGTGACAGTGTAGACTCAAGTGTGCTGAGTGGTCGTCTTCTCTGTGTCCTGTAGAGTGTGGGGAAGGAGCTCAAGGCTGCTACCCAGCCCTGGCCTCCTCTCTAGCAACAGTACCACCTGGCACCCCTCAGCTGTGAGCTGAGGGCGTGTGTACCTGTGCAGTGTGTCAGGGAGGGCGGGGCTCAGTGTGAGCTGAGGACGTGTGTATCTGAGTGTGTCAGGGAGGGCGGGGCTGTGTGAGCTGAGGGTGTGTGTATGTGAGTGTGTCAGGGAGGGCGGGGCTGTGTGAGCTGAGGGCGTGTGTATCTGAGTGTGTCAGGGAGGGCGGGGCTGTGTGAGCTGAGGGTGTGTGTATGTGAGTGTGTCAGGGAGGGCGGGGCTCAGTGTGAGCTGAGGGCGTGTTTATCTGAGTGTGTCAGGGAGGGCGGGGCTCATGTGAGCTGAGGGCGTGTGTATCTGGAGTGTGTCAGGGAGGGCGGGGCTCAGTGTGAGCTGAGGGCATGTGTATCTGGAGTGTGTCAGGGAGGGCGGGGCTCAGTGTGAGCTGAGGACGTGTGTATGTGAGTGTGTCAGGGAAGGCGGGGCTCAGTGTGAGCTGAGGGCATGTGTATCTGGAGTGTGTCAGGGAGGGCGGGGCTCAGTGTGAGCTGAGGGCGTGTTTATCTGAGTGTGTCAGGGAGGACGGGGCTCAGTGTGAGCTGAGGGTGTGTGTATGTGAGTGTGTCAGGGAGGACGGGGCTCAGTGTGAGCTGAGGGTGTGTGTATCTGAGTGTGTCAGGGAGGGCGGGGCTGTGTGAGCTGAGGGTGTGTGTATGTGTGTCAGGGAGGGCGGGGCTCAGTGTGAGCTGAGGGCGTGTGTATCTGAGTGTGTCAGGGAGGGCGGGGCTGTGTGAGCTGAGGGCGTGTGTATGAGTGTGTCAGGGTGGGCGGGGCTCAGTGTGAGCTGAGGGCGTGTGTATGTGAGTGTGTCAGGGAGGGCGGGGCTCAGTGTGAGCTGAGGGTGTGTGTGAGTGTGTCAGGGAGGGCAGGGCTCAGTGTGAGCTGAGGACGTGTGTATGTGAGTGTGTCAGGGTGGGCGGGGCTCAGTGTGAGCTGAGGGCATGTGTATGTGAGTGTGTCAGGGAGGGCGGGGCTGTGTGAGCTGAGGGCGTGTGTATGAGTGTGTCAGGGTGGGCGGGGCTCAGTGTGAGCTGAGGGCGTGTGTATGTGAGTGTGTCAGGGTGGGCGGGGCTCAGTGTGAGCTGAGGGCGTGTGTATGTGAGTGTGTCAGGGAGGGCAGAGCTCAGTGTGAGCTGAGGGCGTGTGTATGTGAGTGTGTCAGGGAGGGCGGGGCTGTGTGAGCTGAGGGCGTGTGTATGTGAGTGTGTCAGGGAGGGCGGGGCTCAGTGTGAGCTGAGGGTGTGTGTGAGTGTGTCAGGGAGGGCAGGGCTCAGTGTGAGCTGAGGGCGTGTGTATGTGAGTGTGTCAGGGTGGGCGGGGCTCAGTGTGAGCTGAGGGCGTGTGTATGTGAGTGTGTCAGGGAGGGCAGAGCTCAGTGTGAGCTGAGGGTGTGTGTATGTGAGTGTGTCAGGGAGGGCGGGGCTGTGTGAGCTGAGGGCGTGTGTATGTGAGTGTGTCAGGGAGGGCGGGGCTGTGTGAGCTGAGGGCGTGTGTATGTGAGTGTGTCAGGGAGGGCAGGGGTGCTTTGCTGATGGACAAGCTCTCACTCATGGAGTCACACCCTTAGCTAATGACCGTCCCAAAAGCTGTTGTTTAAAGGCAAATTAGTGAATTTGGACTTCTGACTTAGTTTGGGAGGATGCACACTGTTGTGTTGACTGTTGACTTTAGTAGCTAGGGGTGGTGCAGTGAAAGTTATGGGACCAAATAGCAATTTATTTTTTCTGTGGTGGAGGAGCTGTGCTAACCTCATGTTATTGGAGATCTGCTTTTCCAAGACAGTGTCTAAACTGCACAGCCTGGAAAGAATTTTCTGGAAGCCCTTGAGCCAAAGGCATAGGGAAGAGGTTATGGTAGAGGAGAAAAAAAAAAAAAAAGGACTCTGTCTTCATTTGATTTGAACCCAGAAGCACTGATTGCACCCTGTCTGTATTTGCTAAGACCTTGGGATGCAGCTAACTCCGCTGCTCTGACCTCCATAGTGCAGCGTGGAAATAAATGCATCTGCTGCTGGAACCTGGCTCACCTAAGCCTGCTTAAGAGAGACGCTTGTCTTTCACAAGCACTGACTCAAGGGCTGAAAGATTTTATGTTGAAGACTGGACCCCCAGGGAGAGCTTTGTCCCTGCCCCTCCCTCCCTCCCTCCCTCCCTCCCTCCCTCCCTTCCTTCCTCGCTCCCCCCCTCTTTCTCTCCCTCGCTCCCCCCCTCTTTCTCTCCCTCGCTCCCCCCCTCTTTCTCTCCCTCGCTCCCCCCTCTTTCTCTCTCTCTCTCTCTCTCTCTCTCTCTCTCTCTCTCTCTGTCTCTCTAGCGTAATGTTACTAGGGCTTGAACTTAGGACTCACGTTTTTGCTTGGCTCTTTCTGCTCAAAGCTAAGCTCTACCACTTAGACCATGCCTCCATTTCTACCTTTTTGCTGGTTAATTGAAGAGTCTCTTTGCTTTATATGTTCAGGCGGGCTTCAAACCATGATCCTCAGGTTTCAGTCTCTCAGATTTCCATCTTCCAAGTAACTAGGACAACGGACGTGAGCCTCTAAGGTCAGGCTCAGGTGGATTGTTGTTGAAAAGATTCAACTAAAGTTTCCTAATGTATACTTCTGTTTTTGTAGGGAAATTACCTGAGTTTTACGTGAAAAGTTAGTATATAATTTTAGAGCTTTAAATTTACCTTGTAGATATTTATAGTAATTTTTTTTTGCTTTGTAGCGAGATAAATTCTTCTTTTTTTTATTGTGAAAATACCGTACAGAGGGGTAACAATTACGCGGGCAAGATAATGAGTATGTTTCTTATCAAGCATTGTTGCCTTCTCCTTTGTTTCCCCTTCCCATCTCCCCCTCCCCCCATTTCTAGTAATTTTTTTAAGCGGAGATTTGAAAACACTCCTGTTTGGGAATTATTTAATACGCAATGTATTTTTAGGTAAGCCTTGAGGGGTGTTCTAGTTGGATGGTCTGAGCTGGCCATGGATGGCTTTTTAAAATTTTTTTTGTCAGTTGTGGGGCTTGAACTCTGGGCCTGGGCGCTGC